AAAAAAAAAAAAAAAAAAAAAGAAATGCAGTTCCCAGCCCTGGAAGTTGTGGTTCTGTGGGGCTGGAGACGTGCAGGCGCTCTGTGAGTGAGCCTCTTAGCCATTTCTGGCCCATTCAACCCAGCAAGGATGCTGGGCCCTTGCCATGGGCCTGCTGAGTTTCTCCACTGCGCCCCAGAGAGGTACCGTCTCTGTGTGGTGGGTCTTTTCTTATGAGCTCTGGGTTGGCCTTGCCCTGTTCATGCCTAAGTCTGTCCACTCTGCCAGCTGGGCCTTTCTGAGTGCCTGTGGGGCAGGGATGCCTGGGCTCCGGCCCCTCATTTATTGGATGCAGTGCTGTTCATACCTGCTGGGGTTGTGGGAAGCGTCAAGGAGCCTCATGCTCACCCTGGGGAAGCCACCGCCGTAGGGGCCCCTACCCTCTCCCCTTTGACCAGTCTCTGGTCAGAGCCTGGATGCAAAGATGCTGCTTTTAAAGATGGCAGTCGGTGAAGGAGGCCGGCAGCCGCAGTGGCTCAGGATGCTGCCCACCGTTTGGGGGCCGAGCGGCTCCATCATCTCCGGTCTGTGTTGCAGGGGCTGTTTCAAGGCCTTCTACATCCACAAGTTCAGAGCCATGCTGGGCAAGAACCGGCTCATCTTCCCAGGCGAGAAGGTAGCATCTGGGTCCTGGGGGTCTGACTGAGCAGCCTAGTCCCTGGAGTCCCCTGCTCCTCCCTCCCACGGGTGGTCTGGCCTGCTGCAGCCGCCAGCTCCGCCCTGGGATTTGAGGGCTGCCTCGATGTCCTGGACGTCCACGAGGTGGGGTGTCTGCTTGTGTTGGAGGTGCGGCTCCCTGAGTGCTGTTTCTTCTCTCCCAGGTGCTCTTGGCGTGGTCTGGGGGGCCTTCGTCCAGCTCCATGGTCTGGCAGGTCCTTGAGGTGCGTGTTCACCACCCACTTGGCCCCGGCTACTGGGCTGAGGCTGGGGGGCTGTTGGCTGGGGCTAGAGAGCAGCCCGCCCCCCCGGCCTGGACACCAGCAGGGTTCTCAGATGTGTTTCCAGTAGGTGCACCAATCAGAAATCTGTCCAGAGCGCCTGTGTGCGTCCCACTTGGCTTGTGTCCCTTTACTCAGCCTGCACAGAAACGCAGGCAGTGGAAGGTGGCGTCTCGGCTCGGCCATGTGTGACCCGAGGGAGGATCGGGAAGCAGGAGAGGGGACTATCAGAAGCAAAGGGAGCAGCGTTTGAGGTGGATGGCACAGGCAGTGGAAAGTGGCATCTCGGCTTGGCCATGTGTGACCGGAGGGAGGATGGGGAAGCGGGAGAGGGGACTGTCAGAAGAAGCAAAGGGAGCAGCGTTTGAGGTGGAGGGCATGGCACGTGGCGGGGAGGCGGAGGCAGGGGCTTGGCTCAGGGTGGGGGGCTGTGCCCCTTCGTGTTCAAGTCCAGCTCAGGAAGTCCGCGGCAGGTAGGGCTTCTCAGGAGGGCACAGGAGCGGGATGTGCCTGGTTTCTCCGCACTCCCAGTGAGGGGTGCAGTCTGGAGGAGGCTGTTTCTGGGGGGTGGGTGGTTGAGAGGGGAGGGTCGGCTCTGCCTGGGTGATGGGTGTGATGTTGGTCTCAGGATGGGCACGCTGCACGGCACTGCTGAAGTTTTCTGTTCTCTGAGGTCCCCCGAACCTGCCAGGAGGGTGGTGTGAGGTAACTGGCTCAGCCCTCTGTGCCACCCTGGTGCTGCCCTTCCTGTGCCCAGTGGTTCCCCAGCCTCTAGCAGGCTCTTTCTGAGTGGCCAGAAGTGTGTGAGGTGCAGTCACAGTGGCCCCATAGCCCCAGTCTCCTCTCCTGGGGCGTTGTTGAGGCATCCAGGACCAGTGCATTTTACCAGGGGGTGAAGACCCCCAGGCTTCTGTGGAAAACACGTCGGGCTTGCAGCATCGCCTACTGGGCCTGCCTGGCCCCCAAGTCTGAATGGCTTTGTCCACTAAAAGCACTCGCAGGGGAAGGTCACGTTACCTTCCAGGAGGGCGTTAAACCCAGATGAAAGATGTTCTGAGCTGAAGTGTCCTGTGGCTTGCGGCTGGGGCTGACTCCCTGATGCTTCTCCCTCCAGGGCCTAAGCCAAGATTCTGCCAAGAGGCTGCGTTTTGTGCCGGGGGTCATCTTTGTTGATGGTACGTGTGGCTGTTGCCTCTCCGACTCCCTGGCCACTTGGGGTGTGCCCTGCCGACCCTCCTCTGGTAGGGCGTGTGGAGCTGCTGCCGCCCCTGCACTCAGGCCCTGGTGGGGACATTCCCCTGAAGGAGGCAGAGGATGTGTCCGTCGTTAGGAGGCGCCAGTGTTCCTGGAACCTGAGAACATCCTCCGAAAGTTGGGGGTGGGGAGCAGGAGCAGGCTGCCCAGCCCCCATCGTGGGCTCTGGGGACAGAGAAGGGCGTGTGAAGTTCGCGTGGTGAGGGGGACCCAGGGGCCGCCTCCCAGAGCCTTGCTCCTGTGGGATGAACTCCTGGGGCATTCACTGTAGCACTGAGGTTAGCCCCAGGGAGAATCCCCTTCCGCAAAGGAAAGCGGCAGATATCCCACAGCTCCTCCAGGAAGCACGGCCCTGCAGAGCGAGGCCTGGAAGGATTTCCCGGGGGGAGGTGGCCCCACACCCTGCTTGGCTCTACTGTGAGCTGTGACTCCGCCTGGGTTTTTCAGAGGGAGCAGCCTGTGGCCGGAGCCCGGAGGAGAGAGCGAAGACCCTGGCTGAAGTGAAGCCCATCCTGCAAGCAATTGGGTTCCCGTGGCACGTGGTGGCCTTAGAGGAGGTGGGAGGGCTGGCCCTGGGAAGGGGTCCCAGAGGCAGCCTCGGCCTGTCCCGAGCCTCACTGCTCTCTCCTGCCTCCCGGAAGGTGTTCAGCCTGTCGCCGTCGGTGCTGCGGTGCTCTTCCCAGGAGCCAGCGGCTCCCGAGGAGGCCTACAAGGCGGCCGTGGACAGCTTCCTCCGGCAGCAGCATGTGCTGGGGGCAGGGGGTGGGCCTGGCCCAGCTCATGGGGAGGAACAGCTGCCCCAGCCCCGTGCCCAGCCCCCACAGAACCGCCAGAGTCTGCTGAGACCACCTGCTGCTGCCCAGACTGAGGCTCTTTCCCACCTGTTCTGCTCAGTGAGGACACTGACAGCCAAGGAGGAGCTTCTGCAGACCCTGCGGTGAGGCCCTGCAGTCCCCAGGCCCCCGAGCCCCTTCCCGGGCCAGCCCGCCCGGCTCTGAGAGTCCGTGTGCTGCAGGGCCCACCTGATCCTGCACGTGGCCCGCGCTCACGGCTACTCCAAGGTCATGACTGGGGACAGCTGCACCCGCCTGGCCATCAAGCTCATGACCAACCTGGCGCTGGGTAGAGGGGCCTTCCTGGCTTGGGACACGGTAGGCAGGGGCCTGAGTGCCCAGGAGGCCCGTCCCCACCCACTCTCCTCGGCCATCTTCACTTGGGAGGACTCTCGTATCAGTCCTGTGGCGTCTTGGATGGAGGTGGGGTCTGTGCCCCTCACACCATGTAGGGAAGAGCGGGGATATATAGGCCTTGACCTTGACTCTACAGCCCCCACCTCCCCAGGGCTTCTCCGATGAGCGGCACGGGGACGTGGTGGTGGTGAGACCCATGCGGGAGCACACCCTGAAGGAGGTCGCCTTCTACAACCGGCTGTTCTCCGTCCCTTCTGTCTTCACGCCAGCCGTCAATACCAAGGTGGGTTCACCAAGGCGGGCTGTGTGGGCTGGGCGGCCTTTCTCACAGGCTCAGAGGTCACCGGCACACCTTCAGTGACCCCTGCCGTGTCCCCCAGCAGTGCCACTTCCCCAGGGTCCTCTGAGTCTGCCCTGTCCCCGAGGGCGTGGGGTGACAGGAGCCCCACAGGTACACTGCTGAAGCTGGTCCTCTGGCTTCCTTGAGCTGTCGTGGCGAGGCCAGAGCCATGGGGGCCGGCAGTGTGGAACTCACAGCACCTGCCTTCATGAGTCTCTGCCCCAGCCTGGTGCTGGCCCTGGGCTCTCCCTTAGCCCTGAATCTGATTGTTCCCTAGGCCCCTGAAAAGGCCAGCATCCACCGGCTGATGGAGGCCTTCATCCTCCGGCTGCAGACCCAGTTTCCCTCCACCGTCAGCACTGTGTACAGGTGTGTGCAGGTGTGTGCTGGGCACACTGCCCATGCTCAGGCCAGGGCTTACAGGGGAGCTGCACCCTGTGCGTTTCACCTGTTCCTCCCACCCCGGCCACAGGACAAGTGAGAAGCTGGTGAAGGCCCCCCGGGACGGCCCTGCCACCGGCGACCACAGCCCTCGCTGTCTGCTGTGCATGTGCGCCCTGGACATTGACGCCGCTGGTCTGTGCATCCTGCTCTTGGGGTGATGAGGGAGTGGGCATGGGGGCTCAGGACCAGGGTCCCCTCAGCTCCTCTCTGTTTGCAGACAGTGCCACGGCTTTTGGGGTTCAGACCTCCTCACATCCCTCCCAGATCCAGTTGCCCACCTCCCTGACTGACACCGGGACACCCCAGGAGTCGCCCATTGCCCTGATTGAGACCAGGACACCCCAGGGGCCCTGCTGTTTCCCGGGGGGCCCCCGGGCCCAGGGCTGTTGCCAAGGGGCCTCCAGGAGGTGAGTCCTTGTCCCTACCACCCCTGGGCAGCTGTCTGGGGGGAGGGGGATGTGCCCTCACCCACTGGTGCTGAGGTGCCAAGGTGGGCACACATCCAGCTCTGCTCCTGCAGGGAGGACCCCCAAGCCTGCATTGTGGAGCAGCTGTGCTATGGCTGCCGTGTGAACATGAAGGACTTGGTGAGTTGGTGGCCGCCGTCCTGGGCTCGGGGAGGGGACAGCCTTCCTGCACCCCCTCTCCAAGCCCGGCCTCTGTTGCAGCCCTCACTGGAGCCCCTGCCGCAGTACATCCTGGCCGAGGCCCAGCTCCGCACCCAGAGGTACTGGGGCCCATCCTGCTGTGGCCTGGGGGGCAGGTGCCTAGGGGCCGGTACCCACTACAGCTCTCTCTCTCTAGGGCCTGGGTGTTGGCAGAGCTCCGGGACTGTCTGATTGAGGACAGTGACGATGAGGTGGGCCAGAGCTGAGGACGTGCTCTCTGGGACAGCAGGTGCAGGGTCCACCACACTGCGGCTGGAAGGCAAGGACGGGACGGGGTCGGCCCCTCAGTGTCCATTTGTATAAATAAAACCTTTTTAATTAAAAAAACTCTACCGTATGCGTGGGGGACAGCAGTGCCACGCAGGCCATGGGGACGCAGTGTCCTTCTTTGACAGCAGCATCAGGGCTCAGGCAGGCCGGGAGGATGTGTCACAGCTGGCAGCCATGGACGGGGCAGCAGCTCCCCCGGCCCTCGGAGTGCCACCCGCTGTGGGGCCGTGCTGGCCGGCAGCAGCTCCTACTCCTTCTCACGAGTCCACTTGATCATGGTCTCCGGGGAGCGGTAGAGGAAGATGAGCTTGGCATACAGCTCCTCCTCCAGCTCCAGCTCCCGGGTCTCACGCACCAGGAAGATGTCCTGGCAGAGCTTGAGGATGCGGTCCACGCACGGCAGCTCCTCGAACATGATGGAGTGCGAGATCTCACTGAAGAAGCCACGCACGAACTTGCCGATGACCAGCACGATGGACACGTACAGCCCCATGATCCTGTGGGGGGACCCGGTGAGTCCTGGGGCTGCCCGGAGCCCTCCAGAGCTGCGGGGCGCCCCCAGCCATACACTCACCCGTAGCCAGCCAGGAAGCCGAGGCTCGGTGGGCTGACCTTGTCGCTGAAGATGACCATGGGCAGCAGGTTGCAGTCGGCCTGGCAGTCCTCCAGCTCAATGACCCACCACTCAAGGAAGCCAGTGGCCCCCGGGCCCCGCTCCCTCCGCAGCTGGATACGCACGCTGAGGTAGTCGGCCTCCTCATCTGGGGTGGAGCCGGGAGACAGTTGGGTGGCGCCCCCCCCCACGATCCTCCCCCAGCCCTGTGCCCCCACTCACTGGGCTGCAGCTGCTTCACAGGGTTGGCTTCAGGCCCGTTGGGGGCACGGATGTACTTGGGGAAGAGGTTGGGGATGACCCTGCAGGGAGGTGGGAACAGGTCAGGCCTGGCCCTCCTCTCTACCCCGCGACCACCCTGGGCCGTAACTCACACAGACTGGTCCGAGGTGCCCTCCAGCAGGCTGGCCAGCTGGCGCCGCTCCGTGCTATTGGGGGCCAGGGCCAGCATGTGTTTCTCATTGGCGTATTCCACGGTGCCTCCCTTAGCCAGGTCCCTGTGGGTGGGAACACAGCGTGACCCAGGGCCGTGGGGCCAGCCCCGCAGGCCCTGCCTCCATCCCGGGCCACACCTCTGGAAGTTCCAGGTGAAGCGCAGGGTGATGTCAGCTGTGCCGTTGTACAGCTCCCGCTTCATCTGGGCGCGGCTTGGCGGGCTGATACGCCACAGTGCCCCAGAACTGCCCTCAATCTGCGCCGTGACGATGTCCTCGGGGCTGTACTGGCTGATGAACTGCATGGCCAGCTGGGTGCAGGCGACACCCTCAGTGACTGCAGTCTCTTCCCCCCACCCCACCAGGCTGTCACAGGGCAGAGGCCACTTACCGGGTGGGGGTCAAACTGCCGCGACAGTTCCTCATAGGCCTGGGGCGTGAAGGGGATGATGGACGGCTGCTGGGCGCTCATGGTGAACAGTGGCTGGAGGCACAGGGCCGTGAAGATGAGCGAACAGGGGCAGCGAGGGGTGGCACTGCGTTGGCCACAACCCCCGGGGCATGGCAATGGACAGACGGGCCAGCGCAGGCTCACCTCATAGCCGCCCAGCTTGAGGGTGACGGTGACATCGACGGGCTGGTTCACCACGCCCACCACCGAGCGTACCAGCGACATGAAGAGCAGGGGGAACCAGATGATGGCGATGAGGAAGAGGATGATGAGGCCGCCCATGCCGTACTTGACGATCTTCTTCTTCTTCTGCCCTTTGGGCTGCGGGTATTTCTGGAGGGGAACGACACAGGGCATCCACTCAGTTCTGCCCTTCCTGCAGATTAGACCACAGGCTCCAGCTCAGCAGCAGCCCACAAAAGCCCAGCCTGACTTCAGCATGGCACAGCGGTAACAGTGGCAGGCAGCCACAGACCCGTGGCCCGGGACTGAGGATCCAGCTGGAAACCTCATGTTCAGGGGCCACTGGTCTTAGACGAGGGAGCTGTGCCCACTCGGGGAATGGACAGGCTTTCTCCAGCACATGGCGCTGGCCCCGCCCAGGCAGGAGACTGGAACGGAACTCCTGCCTCACACCAAGAGCCAAAATCTAACTCCAAGGACATCTAAAACTCTAGAACTTTTAGAAGAAAACGGGGCAAATCTTCATGAACTTGGATTTGACAAAGGAAAGTAAACTAGATATTACAAAATGAGCACTTCTGTGCTGCCAGACGCCATCCGGAAATTGAGACTGCACAGAATTGGGGAAACTCTGCAAGTCACATAAAGGCCCAGCAACCAGAGAACACAGAATTCTTACAACTCAATCGTTTCTAGCCAGTGTATCTACAGAAAAAGAACTCTAATAAAAAACCCAGCTGTTGGGCACAGTGGCTCAGGCCTGTAATCCCAGCACTTTGGGACGCCAAGGTGGGCGGATCACTTGAGGTCAGGAATTCAAGATCAACTGGGCCAAAAATGCAAAAATTAGCCAGGTGTGGTACTGCACACCTGTAGTGCCAGCTACTTGGGAGGCTGAGGTGGGACAATTGGTTGGACCTGGGAGGCAAAGACTGCAGTGGGCCAAGATGATGCCATTGCACCTCAGCCTGGGCGACAGTGAGATCCTGTCTCAAATCCCAGCTAAAATGCAGAGAAAGGACTTGAATAGACATTTCCCCAAGGAAGACAGACACACACAGTCGAGCAGTCACCAGGGGACTGCAAAAGGCTCAGCAGGAAAGGCCTCATAGCAGCAGGCTGCCGAGGATGTGGACAAACTGGGCCCCTGTGTTGCTGGGGGAGCCTAAGATGGTGGAGCGGCCGTGCAAAGCAGCGGCTGCTCACGACGTAAGACACCACCAGACAGCACTCCAGCCCTGGCGTGCAGCCCATGTACCGAGGGCACGGGCGCACATGTGTACGCCACGGTGCCTGGCAGCATCATGGGAAACAGCCCCTCAGTCAGTCCATCCACAGATGATGAACATGTGCATCCGTACCCCGGAATGTCATTTGCCCATGAAAGGGAAGGCCGTGCTGCCATGGGGGTGAACCTCAAACACTGCCGAGTGAGGAGAGCCAGTCACATAAGGACAAAGGCCAGCGGGTTCTGCTTTCATGCAATATCCACAACAACAGGCAGATCCACGTAGAAACAGGAAGTAGACTAGGGGTTCCCAGGGTCCGGGGAGGGGAACGGAGCGACAGCCAATGGGCACTTGGTTTGCTGTTTACTGTTTTAGAGACAGGGTCTCACACTGTTGTCCAAGCTGGAGTGGTCATGTGATCAGGCTTAATGCAGGGCCTCAGTCCTCCTACCTGAGCCTCCAGAGCACCTGGCAGCAGTGTGCACCATCACACCCAGCTAATGTTTGTGTAGGGAGGTCTGGCTGTGTTGACCAGGTTGGTCTTAAACTCCTGGCCTCAACTTGTCCTCCTCCAGCCTCCCAGAGTGCTGGGACCACAGGCATGAGCACAACAGCCAGCTGATTTTATTTTTACAGTTGCTGAGGTGGGTCTTACTGCGTTGTCCAGGCAGGTCTTGAATTCCTGACCTTGAGCAGTCCTCCCTCCTCCATCTCTTAAAGTGCTGGGATTACAGGTGTGAGCCACTGTGTCTGGCCCTGGGTTTCTTTTTAAAGTGGTGAAAATATTCTAAAGTTGATGTTAGTGGCAGATCCTCAACTGTGAATATACTAAAAACCCCTGAATTGTACATTTTAAATGGCTGAATGGGCGGATGCATGAATTTTCTCCAAATAAAGCCATTAAACAAGAACTCAGGCAACTATCCGACTGGCCCCCCTGCACCAGGCCCAGCTCAGGGGCTCCTCTACTGCCAGCCTACCTGGAACAGGGCCAAGTCTGCCCACTTCTGCCCCCGGCACCCACTTGCAACTGCCAAGATCACTGGCCTCAGGACCAGCTAGTTGGGGGCTTGCCTCGTGTCCCTCCCCAGTGCCTGCGAGCCCTGGGAGGACTACCAGCACCCCTGGTTCTCATGGCAGCAGTGCCTCTGCCCCGGGGAGACGTCACATCCCTGGCCCCTAGTTCAGGCCCCACCCTGGCCCAGGCACCTTTTCTGTCTCTCGGCTGCACTTGATGATGAAGATGTTGGCGTAGATGTCCTCCACGCACATCCAGTTGGACAGGGACAGCGTGGTGTCTGTCCACACCCAGTCCATCACTGCCCGAAGCTCCACCAGGAATGGCACCAGCCGGAACCTGCCCATAGCCAGGGATCCCTTCAGGTGGGATTCCTCCTGCCCAGGCCGTGACAGGGCAGGATCTCGCTTCTCACGACCCCCACCCCCTGGCGGGACCCTCACTCACCCCTGGAAAAGGAAGAGGTTGAGGTGATTGTATTTCTTGGTGAGGAAGTTGCCAAGGATGCGGGTGGGGTAGCCGCAGCGGATCTGGTAGGCGGACAGGGCAAAGTAGATGCATTTCACGAAGTACCACAGCTGCGCCACCGCGTTCTGGCTGAACATCCTGGGGTGGGATGGCCAGGTCAAAGACCCCATCGGAAGTGGAGCCTCCCCCGGAGACTGCACACTCCTCCCCGGCACGTGGGCCCACCTCTCGGTGACGGCGGGCAGGATGAAGAACATCCACAGGTGGATAGCCAGCACCAGCACCACCTGGAAGGCCAGCTTGCCCAGCACAGTCTTGCGCAGGTAGAGGGCGCGGTCGACCACCATGGTACTGAACTGGATCAGCAGCATGACCAGAAAGGCCTCAGGGACCTGGTCATCCGACAGGGAGGACGTGATGTCCGTGGCCGCTGAGTGTTTCTGTGGCCGGGAGAGCACATGTCAGGGGGAGCCAGGCCCCGGGGGACGTGGGTGGGGGCTGCTGGGCTCTGCATCCACTGGGGGATCCCAGGTCTGGCTCACCCCAAAGGCCCAGAAGCCAAAAATGATGATGATGAAGTCAACGACATCAGCCAGGAACATGAGGGCGTAGACGTCGGTGGCTGCGCGGTACTTGGTGTGCAGAATGTCGTGGAAGAAGCGCCGCAGTGGCCGGTACATGCCCTGGGCCCTGCAGAAGGGGGAGCTCAAACTGGTGCCAATGCCTGCCTCCCCACCCCCACTGCACAGCTGCCCCCGGCTGCCCTCACTCACAGGGACAGGCAAAACCTCTGCAGCCGCCGCCCGGCCGCCTGCACTCTTTGTCTGGAGCGGCTTGGCTGCTGCTTTCTCCCCGTGGGGGCCTCTTTCTCTTCTTCCCCCTCTTCTTTCTCCCTGTCCTCAGCTTCTGTAGGGAAAAGCTGACTTCTGTCTGTGCCCCCTGGGGACTGGGTCTGGCTCATGGCTTGTGACCACCCTAAGAGGCTGGCATTCTCCCCATGTGAGAGACCAGCAGACTGAGCACAGAACCTCCCAGTGTCACCGGCAAGGGGACAGCTGGGGCTGTGTCCTCTGGGGCAGACTTGAGGGGCCAGCCCAGGCCCACAGTAGCCCTGCACGGGGTGGGGGGGCATCCCTGGGGGCAGAGCCAGGAGCTGTGGCTCAGAAGCACCTTCTTGGTATCCAGGTGGGCCCTGCACTGGGCTTGGCCGTCTTATTCAAGAAAGACCCTCCCTGTGGCAGCCCCATGGGCAGAATGGGGTAGGCAGGAAGCCAGAGGTCAGGGCAGTTATACCGACGGCTGCTGGTCCTTTCCATGCTGGGCTCTCCTTGTGCCTCCTCCTAAAGCGTAGACTGATGCGTCTCGTGTCTCGGGGTCTGAGCTCCACTTGGGATTCTGGGGTCCGGTCCGTAGCTCCAACCCTCTCTTCCACCTGAACATGGTCCTCGGTAGTGGCCCCGGGCACCCCTGGCTCCTCCTGGAGCCCTGTGCCTGCCTGGGCCTGGGGTCCCAGCAGGACATCTGACCCCTCCTCAGCCCCCTGCTCCTTCCTGCTGCTCCTGTCTGGCTCCTGGGATGGTGAGTCTTCGTGGTCCCAGAGGCCGTAGCACTGCGGGGCGGGAGGGTGTGGTGAGGAGGCCTTGGCTCCCGGGCGGGGGGTGCAGGTGCCCCGTGGGCCCACCCAACCTCTCAGTGTCACGGCTCACACTCACCAACAGCTGGGAGCGGTGGAAGAAGAGGGCCATGAGCTGCACCAGGTCGTACTTGATGTAGCCGTCGGTCTTCTCCAGGCCCAGGATGCGCGGCGGGAAGTAGGGCTTGTTCTCGTAGCGCCGCAGCACCGCATGGCTGTTCCAGGGGAAGAAGCCAAACTGGAACAGGTACTTGACGACCACGGCGACCTGCAGGGGCGGGGATTCAGCATACAGGGAGGGCGTGGCGACCTGCAGGGGCGGGGATCCAGCATACAGGGAGGGCGTGGCGACCTGCGGGGCGGGGATTCAGCATGCGGGGGCGTGGCGACCGGCAGGGGCGGGGATTCAGCATGCGGAGGGTGTGGCGACCTGCAGGGCGGGGATTCAGCATGCGGGGAGCGTGGCGACCGGCAGGGGCGGGGATTCAGCATGCGGGGGGCGTGGTGACCTGCAGGGGCGGGGATTCAGCATGCGGGGGGCGTGGTGACCTGCAGGGGCGGGGATTCAGCATGCGGGGGGCTTGGTGACCTGCAGGGGCGGGGATTCAGCATGCGGGGGGCGTGGTGACCTGCAGAGGCGGGGATTCAGCATGCGGGGGGCCGCACCCACCTCGGTGAAGACGATGGCGGTCATCCAGAAGCGCTTGCTGGGCCGCGGGATGGACAGCATGGCCCAGAGGAAGACGAGCACAGGCAGCACCAGCGAGCCAGCAGAGGCGGTGACCATGTGGTTGAGGATGATGATAAAGTAGCACAGCAGCTCCGAGTGGGCGGCCACGCACTGGTACACCGCCCGCAGTAGCCGCAGCGCCCGGCCCTGCCCCTCTGCAAACAGCTCCGCCTCCTCCAGCTCAAGGATGCGCAGGCGCCTGCGGGGAGGCCCACGAGTTTGGGGGAGCCCGGGACTGCTCAGATGCACAATGGCCCTATCTGCTGCCAGTCCCAGACAGGCTGCACCCCTGCAGGGCCGTGGGGAGGCCAGTGCCTCCGTGTCCCGCCCGTACCTGTCCAGGAGCAGCTCGCTGGCCGTCCGCATCCGCACCCGGTGCAGGGAAGCACCAGCCTCATGCTCCACGGGGTCGGTGACCACCTCCTCGCTGCCACTGCGCGTGTGGTAGCCGGTGCTCAGGGGGCTACCCCTGTCGTCCGTCATGCTGCTGAGCGGCTCCTCCGTCCCCAGCCCACTGGGAAGTGAAGCCGGGTCACAGGGAAGCCTGGCCTGACCTCAGGCTGCAGGAAGGGTAAGGGCAGAACCCACACAGTCCTTGGGGGCACAAGGGAAGGGCAAGGGTTTGGGATGGCTGGGCACTGCCACCCTCCAGTGGCAGCAGCTGGGGCTCAGGGGTCACCCCAGCCCCTACCTGGACACTGTGCTTGGTGCGTCGGGAGCCTTGGTGGGGCCTGGCAGCGTGGCCTCGGCCTGGCTTGTGTACAGCTGGAACAACACGCCCCGGTCCACTTCTCCACCCTGCAGGGCACAGGAGGGGGTTCAGGGCTGCAGGGACTGTGTCCCAGCTCTAGTCTCTGCAGGCGGTTTAGCGGATGGAGTGGGCGCGGGACTGGGCGGTTAAGCGGGCAGGGGTGTGCCCGAGTGCAGAAGTCTCACCCGCAGGAGCTCCTGTGTGAGGAGGTAGCGCTCTGCGCGCAGCACGTCACTCATGGTGCTGTGGTGCCGGGTGAACTCCTGCAGCCAGCGCGTCAACCCGTCCACCAGTGCCTGCCCCAGCACCCACAGAAACTGCGCTGTGCTCAGCACCCGCTGCACCAGGTGGCTCCGGCCTGCGGGAGGGCAGGAGGGCAGGAGGGTGAGAGGGGTGCTGGAGGGGCAGCCTGTGGGGCCAGGAGAGACCTCCCACTCCCCGGGGGCCCACACACCTGAGGCCACCTCCTCGGGGCTCTCTGCCAGCTCCACCTCCTGGCTGGGTCCACCTGCTGGGCACAGGACACTGGTCAGCAATGGGAGGCCCTGCCACCTCCCCTCAGAGTCCCCATGCCCCCCAGCTCACCTGTGGGCAGCTGTCCTGCCTGTTCCTGCCGCCGTCGCCTCAGCACCGTCTGGGCGTTGGTCACCCATGCCTGGTATGCCATCTGTGGGCCAGCCCCTGGGTCAGGACCCGGCTTTCCGCGCCATCGGACCCAGTCGGGAAGGGGAGGGGTAACCGGGGTTGGGCAAGCCTGGCACCAGATCCCTGCTCTGTGTCCCTGAGCCCCTCTGGGAGGGGGACCCTAACGGGCAGTGGGGGAGGACACCCACACATGCAGCCCACCCAGTTCCCGGGCCAGGAACAAGAGCCAGGACAGGCAGGTGGCCAGCACACAGGCGTCTGGCCCCTCTCACAGGTCAGGCCATGGCAGCCACCAGGACTTGGGTGGTTAGCACCAGGAATGCAGGCAGAGCGGTAGCAGGCTCCACAGGACCCACAGCCCCACAGCCTGGTTTCCCACCGGACTTGGGAGACCTGGGTGGGGTTCCGGGAGATGTAGGGCAGGAGCTGGGCTGCCAGGCCCTGGGGGCATCTGTCACACCCGATGCTGCCCTGGCCCAGGGCCCCAAGCTCTGTGGTCTGAGGGGGCAGAAAGGGCCCTCCCCCACCTGGAAGGCGCTCTGGGTGGAAGGCCTGGGACCTTCAGGTGCAGCCTCCTCCTCTTCCTCGCTGTCCGACTCAAACAGGAAGTAGTCTCCAGAGTGGATGACTGCGGGCAGGCAGGGCTGAGAGCCAGCCTTCCCCCCAGGGGACCCCAGCCAGACCCTGGCAGGCCTTTTGGTCCACTTCAGGGCGGATGGGCCAGTAACAGACCCGAATGCTGTGCAGCCACGCTCCCTCGGACCCCCACACCCGCAGGGCCAAGGCCCAAGAGCCACCCTCCCTTGGGGAGCAGCCGTGCAGGCGGGAGCAGTGCATGCACAGGACACAGGCCAGCGCAGTGAGACGAGACCAGAGGGGCAGGCAGGACAGCTGAGGAGCAGAGCCAGCGCGGTGGGACGGGACCAGCAGTGAGGCCAAGGCAGCTGAGCCAGCGCGGGCGGGGGTGCAGAGTGCGCCAACTGCAGAGGACTGGGGGAACCCATGAGGCTGTGGGAGAGTTAGAGAAACAGAACGGGCCCGGCTGAGGCGGGCGGGTCACCTGAGGGCAAGAGTTCGAGACCAGCCTGGCCCACGTGGTGAAACCCTGTCTCTACTAAAAATACAAAACTTAGGCAGGGGTGGGGCACATGCTTGTAGTCTCAGCTACTCGGGAGGCTGAGGCAGGAGGATCGCTTGAACGAGGTGGAGGTTGCAGTGAGCTGAGATCACATCACTGTACTCCAGCTGGGGTGACAAAGCGAGACTCCATCTCAAAAAAATTAAAAAGCAAAACACAGAACGACACAGTGCTGCTGGGACCCAGGTGAAGCTGCTGGTCAGCCACCCTGACTGTGTCAAAAAACCAAGCTCTGAGACTTCTCCCAGCAGAAAGGCTGGGAAGAGCTGGGAGGGGAGGACAGGTTCAGCCCAGGGCCTGCAGCCAGGGAGGCACCCCCGACCCAGAAGACCTCAGCACATCCTGAAGCTCCGCACCTAGGGGTCGGGGGAAGTGGGGGAAGTCAGCAGCCTAGGAAGAGGACAGGTGGGGGGGCACAGAGGCCCTCAGAGGGGGCCACAGGCGGGCTCATTGGGGGTACCTGTGGCATGGTCCAGCCAGGGCCGCCACCACTGCCTCCGTGGCGGGGAGGACGCCCCTGGACTGCCGGGCCCTGTGAAGGGGCAGGATGAGTGTGAGGCAGCAGTCAACACACCGGGAGGGGCTGGGGACACAGAATCCCACAGCAGTGGGGGCCATGTAAGGCCATAGGGCTCAGAGCCCGTGTGTGTGGATGGACAGTCACAGGGCCTACTGGGCAGAGGGCGATATGAACAGGACGGGGGGCTGGGAGCCCTGTGGGACGTCACGTGCGCACACACCAGCAGGCACAGACGTGCCGGACATGGGGCCTCGTGTGCCGGGCTAAGTCGGGGCTGGGAGCCCTGTGGGACGTCACGTGCGCACACACGCAGCACACACCAGCAGGCACAGACATGCCGGACATGGGGCCTCGTGTGCCGGGCTAAGTTAGGGCTGGGAGCCCTGTGGGACGTCACGTGCGCACACACGCAGCACACACCAGCAGGCACAGACATGCCGGACATGGGGCCTCGTGTGCTGGGCTAAGTCACACTCACCTGGCTCCGGGCCGGGGTCCTTGGGGCCACCTCGGTCCACCCAGCCCTGCCTGTGCTTCTCCTGCTTAGCACGGATGCGCTCCATCCTGCAGGGGGGAGAGGCGGGCGTATACTAAGCACCAGGAGGAGGGGCCGGGGAGGCCCCGCCCCAGGGGCACCTACTGTCTTTTCAGCTGGGCCAGGGACTTCTCCTCTATCCTGCGGTGGAAGTCAATGCTCTTGAGGTTGGCTGCATTGTAGAGGGCGAAGCCCCTAGGGAGAGGCAGAGATGGGGTATGGGCATCTGGGACTTGGCTGGAGCGGCACAAGCAGCCGCCACTCCCGCTGCCCACGATGGACGAGAGGCACGCACTGCGGGGGCAGCTGCTGTCCCCAGCCTGCATGCTGTGTGCAGTGAGAGGGGTCAGACGCCCCTGCTGCACAGACCCAGCACCGGGGCCAGGGTGATGGTGCCGGGGCTCTATTGTCCTTCATTCTCCCTCTAGGTGACACACCCATGTCACAGAGCGGTGGAGCCTGCTCTCCACGGTCCGGGGGCTGAGGCATTGAGGTGCCTCCCCTTCCCCCGTCTGAGCCCCAAGACGGGAGCGCTGGGCTGCGTCCGGGCCAGAGCTTGCCTGGAGGCCAGCAGGGCAGTGGCCTGGAGGTCGGCCCTGACGTGCAGGTAGTAGTGGCTGAGGAAGACCCGGCGCTGCAGCAGCAGGAAGAAGAAGCAGATGCTGTCCCAGATGATGCCGGCCTCCTCCACAGGCAGCAGGCAGTCCTGGTCTCTGCCCATCATCTCCTTGGCTGCAAGGCAGGTGCCGACAAGGGTCAGGCTCGGGGCCCAGGAGCAGGGGGCGTCCCCATGCCCTCCCTGCGGCCACCGTCGCCACCACTCACGGTCATAGTAGCCCTTGACAGTGCACACGAGGCTGAAGAGCTGGATGACCCAGCAGAATCCCGTCTGCATCTGCTCCACGAAGACGCAGGCCAGGAGCTGCGGAGAGTGGGGTCAGTGGCGTCGGCAGGCCCCAGGGCAGGTTGGGCGGGCCGGGGCGGGGCTCACCGACAGCATGTTCTTGGAGATGATGACGGTGACGTTGTAGAGGATGAGGCAGTCCCACAGCACAAGGCGGGTCTGCGTGTCCCTCTGCAGCAGAGTGGTGCCGAAGAGCAGCAGGTAGAAGCAGGCCAACAGATAGCCCAGCCCGAAGATGCTGATTCGGGTGGCCCCCGTCACGAACACCACCACCAGCACCAGCCAGAACAGGTATCGGAAGACGGCCACCTTCAGCATGTCGAGGTAGGACCTGCCACGGGGAAGCATCACGGTGGGCGCCACTGCCACCCATCCCAGAAGGCTCCGGTGGAGGGTGGCGCAGGACATACCTGCAGTGGATGAAGTTGGGCACGGGGTTGGGCTCCCCCCACCGCGGCGCCAGATGGTCAGTATTGACGCCAGCCATGCGCTGCCACTCTTCCGTGCGCTCCGCCGAGAACACCTGCCACTGCTGCGAGGCGCAGAGCAGCAGGAGGAAGTCACCTGCAGGATGCGGGAGCTGCTGCTGGGCCGGGTGCACGGGGACCCACACAAGGCAGTCACAGTGCATGTAGCCCGCCTCCCACCCCGGGCCTGGCAGGGTGTACAGCCACTGGGAGCAGACACACGCCTGCCCAGGGGAGTGGCCAGGTGCCCCTGGGGGAGCCACGGTGTGGGCATCTGTGCGCATGCGTATGAGGGCAGGGCCTGCAGGCTGCCACGTGCCTGACTGCACACCTGTGCGCACACGTGTGAGCAGACTGGAGTGTGCGTGTGTGCTCTGAGGGTCCTCTGTGGAGGCGGGGGTGGTTGGGGGACACTCACTGATGAGGTTGGTAGAGTTGGGGGCGCTGAAGAAGTCAGGCAGGTACAGCCACTTGATGAGTGCGGAGTTCATGGGGACAGCCCGGCTCCAGCGCCATGGGTAATCTGGGGTTGGGGGCGTCATGTCAGGAAGGGCCTGGCCTGCCTGGGGCCTGAGACATCCCGTCCCCACCTGCTCGCCAGTGTCCTCAGACCCCACGACTTTATCACCAACACTCAGGGTCCATGGGTATCATCTCACGCCCATCCGTGCACACACATGTGGCGTCCTGAGAACTTAGAGACCTAGTGTCCCGTGTGTTCACACACAGTCCTTAAACTATGCACCAAGCCCTGCGGGCAAAGGACCCAAGTAAGAGGCTAGAGGACGCGGGGATGGGGGTGCTGGGCATCCCTGAGTGAGTTGGGCTCACACAGCATCACAGTCCCTGACGTGACAGTGCATGTGATATGGCAGCTCTGAAAACAGTAGCTGGAAGCTGCACACAGCCACACGCCTGCGGCAGGGAAAGGTTCAGCCTGTGGCAGCCACACCAGAGAACGCTGTGCAGTGTGACGGCCTGGGATCCACAAGATAGCCTGGACGGGCCAGCCGACCACGCAACAGCCTAAAGTGGCCGGCCGACCACGCGACAGCCTAGAGGGGCCCACCAACCACGTGAGACAGCCTAGACGGGCCCGCAGACCACACGAGACAGCATAGACGGGCCCGCAGACCACGCGAGACAGCCTAGAGGGACTCGCAGACCACGCAAGACAGCACCGAGGGACTTGCAGACCACGCGAGACAGCCTAGAGGGGCCTGCAGACACAGCCTGGACGGGCCTGCCAATCATAGGGCCTGCTGACGTGACGTCCTGACAGGACTATCTGCCAGGGATGGGCTGGGTCAGGGGCTGCTGGGGGAGGATCCGTGGCACCACCAGCCCCTGGCCACACTTCCTGGGAGGCGTGCGAGGCAGGGAGGGTCAGTCCCTAAGGACTGTGGGACTGCATGCATGACGCCACTCATCTGCAAAACCCACAGCAGCATCTGCCAGAGGGCACCCCGTGACATTAAAACAAACTTGCCCTCGATGTCAGGGACCCCAGGACGCACTGATCTCACAGGGTGCTCATGGCATGGTCTTGTGGAAGGAGACAGAAGGGAAGCTGGCCTCGGCGCCTCCCGAGAGCAGGTGTTTCAACAAGAAAGAGGTAGAGGGACGAGAGGCAGAGGCAGCCCTGTAGTGATAGGCACACCTGGTGCAGACCTCGCTCTCTGCACCTCACGCTCCTGGAGCTCCATCACACTCCCCGGAGCAGTGGCTGTGAGTGCAGGCCTGTGCTGGGGAAGCACAACATGAGGCAGCCGTGCCTGGGGCAGAAAACAAGACAGGCCAGGTGCGGTGCCCACGCCAGCCATCCCAGCACTGCGGGAGGCCGAGGCGGGCAGATCGCTTCAGGTGAGGAGTTCAAGACCAGCCTGGCCAGCATGGTGAAACCCATCTCCAGTAAAAATAGAAAAATTAACTGGGTGTGGTGGAGGCGTGCGCCTGCAATCCCAGCTACTCGGGAGGCTGAGGCATGAGAATAGCGTGAACCCAGGAGGCAGTGGTTGCAGGGAGCTGAGATCACCACACTGCACTCCAGCCTGGGCAACAGAGCAAGACTCCATCTCAAAAGAAAAAAGAAAAAAAGACGAACTTGAAAAGGGTGGGGCAGGTGGAGAGCACCCAGAGCTCCCAGGGCCCAAAGCCGTGACCACACGCATGACAGAGTGAACAGCGCTGGTCCCACAGCCAGTGCCAGAGATGATAACCCACCCTGTGTCCACAGATATAAATAACTGAATAAATAAATCAGCAGGGGAGAAAGGACAGCTTTTGCTTACAGAAGATGCCAATTCATATATGTAGAAGAGATGAGGAAACAGAAAACCAGCATAGCAAATAGGGCCAGGCGTAGTGGCTGATGCCTGCAATTTCAGCACTTTGGGAGGCCAAGGCAGGGGGTTCACCTGAGATCAGGAGTTCAAGACCAGCCTGGCCAACATGGTGAAACCCCATCTCTACTAAAAACACAAAAACTAGCTGGGCATGGTGGTGCGTGCCTGTAATCCCAGCTGCTCAGGGGGCTGAGACAGGAGGATTGCCTGAACTGAGGCGATGGAGGCTGCATTCTAGCCTGGTCAACAGAGAAACATTCCATCTTAAAAAAAAAAAAAAAAAAAAATTCTTGCTATGTTGACCAGGGTGGTTTCGAACCCCTGGCCTCAAGGAATCCTCCTGCCTCAGCCTCTCAAAGTGCTGGGATCACAGTCATGCACCACCATGCCCAGCCGAATAAATACGTATGTATTCATTTAGAAACGGGGTCACGCTCTGTCACCAGGCTGGAGTGCAGTGGCAGGATCTCAGCTCACTGCAACCTCTGCCTCCCGGGTTCAAGCGATTCTCCTGCCTCAGCCTCCCGAGTAGCTGGGACTACAGGTGCCCGCCACCACACCCGACTGATTTTTGTATTTTTAGTAGAGATGAGGTTTCACCATGTTGGCCAGGATGGTCTCGGTTTCCTGACCTCGTGATCCACCCGCCTCAGCCTCCCAAAGTGCTGGGATTACAGGCGTGAGCCACCTTGTCTCGCCAAGAATTTGTTCATTACAAAGAGTGCCAATGTCACATGAGAAAGTCTGGCAGACGCGGGCCTCTGCAGGTGAGTGATGAAGGCTGACGTGAGAAGACGCGTTGCCCCCAGTGAGACGCACGGAGGACGCCTCACATCTGTGGTGGTGCCCAAAACGCAAGAGCTGGTCTAAGGAAAGAAACACCAAGGCAACCCCAAACCGAGGGGCACTCTGTAAGGTACAGCCCAGTGCTCCGTCAGAAGTCTCAAGGCCAGGAAACACAAGGAGAGACAGGAACCCATGAGGAGACAGAGGCCAGATGACCAGGTGGAGCCTGGGATCCTGTGTGCGGTCCCGGGACGCGACGAGGAGGCACGTGCTGGAAGCTCCATTTCCACTCAGCATGGAAGCCTGTCTTGTTTTGGTCGTTTTCCTTGGCCCGTGTTCACGGCTGACACGGGGAGGCTGGGACTAGGGCACTGGGGGCTCCCTGTGACTCTGGGGTAAGTCTACGTAAGAAGTGAAAAATCAACAGTTGAAGTGCTGGCACACTGACGTGGGTGAATCTCCGCGTTCCCTCTGTGACAGAAGGTGCCGAGCTGTGTGCACCTGCTCCTGAGGTGTCTGGCAAAGGCAGACCTAGAGATGGTCAGAGCAGCGGTCAGAGCAGGGGGAGAGGCGGCCTGGGGCCACGAGGCTGTAGGCAACGCCTGCTGTGTGTGAACTGTGCCTCAGTGGGCCTGACTGGAAGACAGGGCAGGACCTCGGGGACACGGCTCAAAGGGCCCTAGGACTGGATCCAGGACAACATGACCATGTGTGACCACAGAGGCCAGGGTCCGTGCAGCCAAGGGGAGGCCCAGGGCTGCTGACGCCAGTGAGAAGTGGCCGCTCTCCTTGACAGGAAACCCAGCTTACGGATGCACAGAGACCACAGTTTCATGAAGCCAGAATGAGCCCAGACAGCCCACTAACGCCGACAGGCTGGGTGCCACCGTGGGGCAGGTGGGACACCCCTGAGCCGGCCGCACACGCGAAGGTGATTCCCGTCTCAGACCGCAGGGCGCTGTGCACCTGGAACAGACCCTCAACACCAGGACAGCCACACAAGTCCAGTCTCAGCGCACCGGCCACGCCGCCGAGCACCCTCCACAGCTTCCCGAGAGAC